GCAATAATTTGCATATCTGCTGACATAGCTTCACCCTTAATATATACCGAGGAAAATAGTTATTTAAAATGTCTAACTTTTCCTGGTCTTCGTTAAATAACACACCCATCTCTGTTTTCACGTTATCTTCACGTTGTTTCCTTTTTTAGAATTTATGTACTTAAATTGTGGGTTGTTTTTGTTCTCTTTGACTATCACTTTCTTATTTTCTAGTTTAGCCAATCTAGCCTTTTTGCATGTATTTGTTCTTCCTTATCAATATCAACATTAGGTGGTTTATAACATATCCCAAACAATAATTAGTTTCCATTTTTTTCCCAAGCAGATTTCTTCCTATAAAGCTTCCACATTTTGATTGGCACATTTTGCTTGCCTAATGTTTGGCTTTAACATGATTGACATACAAACATACCCCAACACATTCCTGTTTTTTCTATCCTTGCTTAATAATGTGTAACCATTTATGTTAACTGCCCAGTCATGTGTCTCATCACATCACGTTTCCATTATGCCTATTACGTCATATTGCTTAGTGTATGCTTTTGTCTCTAGTTCCTGTTGTTATTTTGGCTTATTTAATTAGTAAGCATACATATTGTGGCGACACCAACCTCGCCACTGTGAACTGGAGAAGCCTGGTTGCTTGCCTGCTCCCTTTGGACTATGGCCCTGCAGGTTAAACCGTTTATTTCCCCTGCAGAAAGGCTTATTTGTGTGATCTGAGTGCCATTCATCTAATAATGTGCACTCAGATCCCAGCTATCTGGGGATATGTGAAATGTCTGTGTGTTATGTGTAAATGTGACTTTATGTATTTTAAGGTGTTTTGTGTCTTTTTGCAACCATGTGCTTAATGGAGTCTTGTGTCTATCCTGGGAGATAATTGAATTACTCTCCAGGATAGAAGACTCTGAAACTGGTTTGGGCCAGAAAGCCATGCTTCATTTAGTCACAAAGGACTTTCCCTTAACTTTTGAACCCCTGGTCTGATTTGTGCCATTTTTTAATATGTTGTTCCCCTGAATGGATTGATTATGAAAATGTATGTTTTATGTTTGTGACATGTATATTTTAGAAGTTATAAATGTTGTGTAAAAACTGTATTCCTCTGCCAGTGATAATGGGATTACCCATTGTGTTCAGTAATCATATCACCTGCAGAGGGGAGGATTTTGTGTGGGAGTGTCTGGGTGTATTGTACGGATTGATTGGTTGTTTTTTAACGCCCTGTGGGCTGTACTATGTTTGTGGATTGGGAATAAAAGAGACTGTATGTGACAGTACAGGGAGTTCCTGTTTTAACCCTCAAAGTGAAGTGTCGTCTCATTATTGGGGAAGGATTCATTGTATGCTGTTCCAGTTTGACTGCTAGGAGAGTAAACCTATTCGTATGGTTCCTATTCAACTGTCTACAGCATTCATATGCTTGGGAGAATTTATTTGTTTCTCCGGTTCGGTGATTGTGGTGTCTGCCGCAGTGCTTGGAGTCCTCAGGAAGCGCTAGGAGCATCTTTCAACGGAGGTACCCAGTCAGGGTGCCAGGCGATCCGTCACAGTGGTGGCAGCGGTGGGATGCCGTCCTAGTGCGAGGAGAAGCAGCGCAGAGGCACCGGTAACATTTGGAATTACAATTTGAGGGCAACGCTAGTATTCGTACAGCGCCCCTGTTCACAGCAAACATGACCTATCGCTTTGAGGGCGACGCTTACAGGGAGGAGGTCAAGAGGCGGTTAACCAGATATGGCCCGAATCTTTCGACAGAGGCGATTCTGGCAACCATGTGCAAGTTGGATGAGGAGAATCGAGCGGCATGGGAATTTGAGCTCCGATTGCGGAGACTGGGGCTGTGGCCAATTGATCTCTCTCCCCAGCGGCAGACAGCATCCCAGGGAGAGGAGATTGTCGGTCCCTCGTCCCTGCAGCAACCATCATCACTGGGAGTCGAGACAGTCGGTCTGACTCCCCAGCGGCAGTGTGTTGTCAAGGGAGAAGAGACAACCGGTCTCTCTACCCAGCGGCAGACAGCATCCCAGGGAGAGGAGATTGTCGGTCCCTCGTCCCTGCAGCAACCATCATCACTGGGAGTCGAGACAGTCGGTCTGACTCCCCAGCGGCAGTGTGTTGACAAGGGAGAAGAGACAACCGGTCTCTCTCCCCAGCGGCAGTGTGTACCCCAGGGAGCTGAAGGTGTCGTCCTTCCTCCCC